AACTTCATCTGTTTCTTCTTTGCTTTCCTTGTTTTTATTTTCTATTATAAATTTTATTTTTTGGAGATGTTCTTTTTAATTTCTTCTTGTATTAATTCTTTCACTACTTCTTTACTAACTTTGGTGTTGACTGACTTACTGATTTCGTTAATCAAATACCATTGTATTTCTGTGTTTGTTGTAAGACCTTGAATTTCATTTTCATGGAGCTTTAGGTTTTTGCTCATTTTTTCATTTTCTTCTTTTAGTTTTTTTACTTGTTCATTAATGTTTTCTTTGTTTTCGTCAATGAGCTTGGTAATGTCTTCTTTTATTTTTTCTTTTGTTACCATTATTTCTAAATTTGTTTCTAAGCTACAAATTCTGTATTCATGTTCTTGTATTTTGTTTTCTATCTTTGGAGTAACTGCAACCAAATGGGTAACTTCTTCATGAAACGGTCTCTGTGTTTTTCTCTTGTTTTGGTTTTCCATTTATTTATTAGTTTTAAGTTCCATTCTGTATTGCAAAATAAATTAATTCGGGAACCAAAATAAGCAAAGAAATAATGCATCTAAATAAAAAACACCAAAAAGAAAAAGGGGTAAAATAATTTGAATTAATAAAATAATAGTTTTTATTATTTTGTTCTTAAAATAAAAATAAAAATAAAAAAGTAAATTAAATATTCATTCTATATTCATTTATATCTGATTATATTTTATATCATTTTATGGTAAATTGTTCTGAAATATAAATGATTCAGAAATGATATTTGATTCAATGTAATTATACATTTTTATTATTATGTTATTTTTATTTTATTTTTATATATTTATATATTTTATTATTATATTTATTTTTATTATTATATTATATATATCTTGATATTATCTATATATTATTATATTTATAATATTTTATTAGTTTTATATTCTTATTATTTATATTTTATTTTATATATTAATACACTTCTATTTATATATAATTTATTATATATTAATACATTTCTTTATCTTATTTTCATTTTGATTATATTTTTATAATTTTATCTATTTTCTCTTTATATTTATTATTATTTTATTTATATTATATTGATTTTATTTATTATTTTATTTATATATTTTATTTATTATTATATCATTTCTTTTCTCTTATTATTTCTTTATATTTATTATTATTTATTTAATTTTTATATCTTCTATCTATATCATATTAAATTAATACTTATTATTTATTATTTATTATATACTAATCATATAATATTTATAACTGGTTATATAATAAACACTGATAATAAATTAACGTATAAATAAAAATTATAAAAATAAAAATGAATAAAATAATTTATATAAATAAAATGTTGTTAAATAATTTACATCAATAAATTAAACACTTTTTATTTCATATTTCTAATTTCTATAATAAAAAACACCCCCATTATTTCATCATTCTTTTCATCTTTTATTATCTCTTTTTGAATTATTCATTTTTATCTTCTTTCATTTTATATTCTCAACATTCTACTTTTATTCTTTTCATCTTCTTCTACTTCTTAATTTCACTTTTTTCTTTCATGTCCTTCTTTTTCATCATTTCTATTCTTCTTTTCTCTTATTTCATTTTTTGTTGTCTGGATATTGACATTACATTTAAGAAATAAATAAAAGAGAAAGAGTAATGATAATAGAGATGATATTCATGTTAATTTAATATAAAGAATAAGAAATAGAATGAAAGAATGATAAATGAAAATAATCAATACATAAAATGATAACATTCATTTAAATTAAACAAATAAAATATCAATTATTATAGATTTGTAATTATTATTGAATGAAATTAATAAATTTATGAATAAAATGAATAAACATAAAGAGAAGAATAGAATGAAGATGAATTATATGATTAATAATTGAATAATAATAATTTGATTAATCATTATGAAGAATAGAAGATTAAACAAGAAAATAAAAGAAGAATGAAGTAAGAATGAAATAAACAAATTAATGATGATAACATAAATATCACTGATAAACATTGATAAAATAAAGATAAAAAGACAATGAGAAGAATAAATTCAATGTTTTAATGAATAATTTAATGAAAATAAAGAAAATGATGATAGAAATGAATATAAATTAAATGAAATACTAATTGTTATTTCTTCTTATTCT